GCAAGAGGATTAATGTGACATGCTGTGGTTCTAAACAAGCCAGAGGTAAAATCAGTGGTGATGATGCTGCGGATGTGTTAATACAGTTTACTTTAATTACCTGTGATGGAAATGTTTCTTGGCTGATTTAACACAGACACGTCTCCCCTCAGGCTTTCACCATCCAGCAAAGCTCTGTGGAGATGGACAACAAGACACAATTACGTCCTGAGGTTCCAGGATAAGATTTGGAGGATGCAAACATGATGCTGCACATTGAGCTGTGGGTGGGAAGAGGAGCGAAGGGAGACTCTAGCTGTTCTCAAGCAGAAAGAAAAGACTGAGGTCTGTTGTTATGGTAATGAAGGAAAGGCAGTGCCATTGAGGAGCCATCTGCAGTTCACAAACCTCCTCACATACACAACAACAGGGGGGACTCTCATGAACACACATACGATGACAGCAGATTTTACAAGCAGCTCATGCAGCACTAATACAACTGTTTCCATTCTCATGTTTGAACCACTGTTGTTTCCATTCCAACACATACTTAAATAATTAGCTCTATTACAAAATAATTTCTTCTTTTTGGCATAGAATCACAATTGAACATGGTATAAATGACATTCAGATTTGTCCTCTAGTAATGTCCTGTCTCCATCTGCTCCCCTACGCTGTAATTCTAGACTCCCATAGCTGAGAAATTGGTAGCTTCTCACTAAAGGGTGAGGGTCAATATTTTGAGGGTGGGGTGGGGATGTGGGCTATAGAGCTTCATAATGGATAAGTTACTCAGTTCAAGGCAACAGAGGCTGCTGCTTCAAAGAAATGACCTTCCAGACAGGCTGCTCCCTCCGTGGGCATCTTTTCCTTTGTCAGTTTCTCTAACTACTGGAAGAGACAACATATACCCTGTTACTGAGCTTCTAAGTGGGTTAAATTAATCATGCAACTCATCGTTTACATGGTAAACTGAGCTAATAGCTAAGCTGTATGCATGTGGAGTTTGAGTCAGTTTGCAATTCAAAACCTATTTAAGTAAATCTTTAAATCATATTTTTTCCACGTCAGTTTGGTTCATTCTTAGAGTTTTGCAGGAAAGCAAAAACACTGATTGTTTTGTGCATTAATAACCAATTTACAGACAAAGAAAGACTCTTTCTGAAAACTGATTTTGGAAATATGATAATTTAGCCATTTAGTGAGATTCTTCGAACACCTATCAAAAACACATGAAGCTGCACTTGCCTCTAAGCAAGTCAAAATCAACTGCAAGGTGCAGCCCCAACTGTCTGACATCAAGCAGCTCAGTGTTTCAGATCACCCTACCTGGTGAAGCAATATTGTTTTTACATTGCACTGTAAAGCACTGATGCTATATAACAGCAACCTGGATACGGGACGTCTAAGTCAATGCACAGGCCGACTTCTTTAAATAGAAAACGTATGCAGATCAGTCTAATGTTTCATTTTAAATCACAAAGAGCATGAAGCATCTTCAGCCACAGATAATACAGAAGGAAGGGGGGCTGGCAGACACAGCATTAGACAGTCTCTTTATTAATAAATAAAACAGAAGACCTTCTGCAAACTGTGTGAACCTCATGCAATAGTGGCATTGCGAAATCAGGTAGTACTGCTGATGAAATAATGACTCACAATAAATTTGACAGAGATAAATATGATAATTTTGTAACCACTAATCTTATATTCTGTTACTGAAGCACACAAGACAAACTTTATTTCACTTTGAAAGATACTCCATGTGCAAAGTAACCCATTTTTTTTGATACATTACACACTCATGAAAAAAATAGTAAAAAAAATTCTAAGGTAAAGTACACTTTAGCTTCTACTTCTACTATCGGGTAGAAAAATAAGTGTTAAAGGTGCTTTAGAATTGACAGTGCAACAGGCAGTTCAGTGTACCTGTATGTTGCTACTTCGAGACCTAGAGACATTTTCAGCTGCGTCAGGCCTCGGTTCTCCATTATGATATGATTGATCTGTTGACCAAGCTCATGCTTCTCCACCTCTAAGGACTCCAAGTGCTCCTGCCAAAACAGGAAGCAGAAGAGGAAAAGGAAGAGGTTAAAAAAAAGCATTGGAAAAGAATTCAGTGTTGTGCTATATTAAGCAGGAATAAATCTCCTTGTTCTTTTGCTTGTTATATGTGGTGGGTTGTTTACAGGCTTTTATTATTACTGCATCTAAGTTATTCAACCTGTTTTACTTATCACACTAGCGTGCTTTTAGATTTACACACTGTTACAAGCAATATAACTGCCTGCTAGTGATCTGGGACCTCAGTGAGAGAAAAAGAAATGCCATAAAAAGTATTTAGTGTAGGTGCTTCACCCCTCAGACCTAACTGTGACCCAGAACTAATCCCATCAACCCCAGCCTACAAATACGTAGCCCCCAGTTGCTTTCATAACCAAATGTGTTCATTTCATCAGCATATAAAATGTGGATGCCAAGGGAGCAAAATCCCTTGGGGGGGAGAGGACTCATAAATGCTTCCAAAAGCCTTTAGTGGAGCTTCTTGCGTATTTTGCTGGAGGCCTTGAATATTTCCAGGAAAATCTATATTCAAATAAAATGTATCTAGTATTCTTGTTCTTTTTACTGAGTATTTGATCTCTTAGGACATGGCTAGTCAAATGTAGTGACAGTAGATATCCACAGACTCTATTTTGTCCAGCTGTCACGAGTCACATGTTCAAATTCCACTGTGGTTTGTCCATTTGTTATCTTAGACTGTGACATTAACCACAATGACTTATTGCATATTTCACAACCAACACCCAATGATTTTGTTGGCATTCTTTTCCAACCAGTCAGAAGTTGCCTAATGTGTGAATATGCGGAACAATTTTCAGTTTCAAAGGGTAATAATTGGATTGAATATCATGTACATTCAACTATTGCAACTGTTGTAATAACTGTTGCATCCCAACATGTATGGATTGTTTCACTCACCTGGAGCTGCTGCATCTCTTGGCTGTATTTGTCTGTCTGCTGGGCAACAGTTTTCTCCAGATGCTGTCTGATTTCCTGAGCTGAGATGATCTCCTTCTCCAGGGCTTGGAGCTTCAGCTGGCTCTCACGTTTCTCCTGACCCACTTGGGTCAAACGGCTCCTGGCCTGGTTAAGTGACTCCTCTAACCGAGTCAGCTGGTCCTGATAAGCCTCTGCTGCCTCCTGCCATGCTCTGGTGGCACTCTGAGAGTATTCATGCCCCAGCTGAAGGAGATTCGGTGTATGGTTGCCCTTTTGAGAAAATGTGTAAGATAATGTAGCTCTAGAATGGGTCAGTGTGGCTTCCAGGTGGGTTACATCCTCCCCATGTGTTTGGATCAGGAGTCTCATCTCATGCTCCAGCTGGTTGACCTTCTCTCTAAGCCAAATCTGTGCCCTCTGTTCCTCCTCCAACTCCTTCCTGCTTTGCTCCAGCTTTGTCTTGGCCTTCACTTTTTCTTCAGCCTCCCTCTGTCTCCACAAGTCCAGCGCTTGAAGTTCCTCAGTCAACTTGCCAACTTCCAGCTCTGTGAGGACCCTATCTCTCCAGACTGCATCTACTTCCAGTCTTGCCTGCCGCAACTCTTCCTCCAGGCCTCTTCTGCGTGTCAAAGCACCTTGATTATTGTGTCTCATAGCTTGTATCTCCTTTGCAAGCAGCATGTTTTCCTCCTCTAGGAGTTTAACTCGGTTCAGGTAGGTCCCGAGTCGTCGATTTAGGTTCAGCATTTGCTGCTTCTCCTCACCCAGGTGGTTGGTGTGGGTGGTCCTTTGTAAACTGTGGAGCTCCATGTCAGTGTTAAAAATAAGAGATATGAAAAACTGAAGCCTCACTCAAAGGTATGCTGATTAGAAATTGGCAACTGCCTATATCCCTGTATCCAGGCCTGAGACAGCGTGAGAGTGAGGCTTCTGGGAGACCCCTGAAATGTGACTGTCTGCAAGAGGGTTTCCTTTCATACTAGGCTTAATGAAGGGGCCGGGCACATGGACAAAAGGGGAGGGGGGTGGAGAGGGAGGAGACTCAAGGCTGGAAAGGGAGAGGAGGGGAGGGGAGAGGAGAGGAAGATGGATGGAGTGACTAAGTGGGATGAAGGAAAGCAGATATGAAATGAGATAGAGGGTTGGAGTAGCAGGGGTGGATATAGCAGTGAAAGGGCAGAGAGAGAAGCAGTGATCTAATTTATAAAATTAACTCTTTCACCACTGGCACTTTTTTCTAGCTGAATTTGAGCTGAGCCATGGAACCTTCCATACTTCCCTCTCCTCTGTATCCCACTTTATTAGGAATTTAAACCTTTAAAGGACTCGGTGTCAATACGTTTTTAGTTTAGACTTCACAGTATTAAGCAGACTGAAACAAGTGATCTTGAAAACCCTAACCAACAGTTAATACACATTTTTCTTTAAATAAATCTGACTAAATTCACAGTGACGTATATGAATCGTTAACCCTGATAATGCAAAAATAATATGAGCTTATGAAATCCATAACCTTATTATGGAACAAGGAAGATCAAAGATAAAATGTGTGTGTTAGCAAAAGTTGAATCAAGCTTTGGTTTGGTAACTATGAACTTCTACAGCTACAAAATAGTGAGAGCCTGTCACCATCTACAAGAAATCATAATTAGGCCGATGCCAGAAAACAATTTCTTGGGCCGAACCACAGGAAGAAACATATAGTCTATGGGCCAAGTTGGAAATAAACCTACTAATAACAGCACAGAGGGACGATAAATTGAATTGTTTTGCTTCACAGTTTATATAAAATCAAAATTTAATGTCTAAGGTACACATTAGGTATCTGTTAACAACATATTCACCGCTCACAGTAATAGTATTATCTTTTCATCACACTGTAAAGTGTTTGAGGTTCTTCCAGCCAGACATGTATGCAAATTACATTTAAAGCCAAAAGCAGAAGTTGGTGTTACAAACGGACTTAACATAACTCAGGAAAAAACAACTTCTCTCATGTATGCCCTGTGGTTCAAATACAATACTCTTCTCCGTCTACGAGTCACAAAAAACCAAACAGAAAGACTGTAAGGATGGCAGAGGACGAGGTTAACTACGCATCAGTTGTATTTAAACCTAACCAACAACAAAGATCAGAAGGTAAGTTAAGCCTTTCAAATGCACTGTGTAAAGAAAAAGAGATTCATAAACGCAGAGTACTTGTGTAGTCTTTTCAGTATAATGGATGTGAAGACACACACTATTATTTTCACTTCCTGTTTAAGCAACCTGCACCGAAGAATACAATGTGACCAAAAAATGAAAAAAGATTTCAGAAGAATGTAATGAAGCATATTTAAAGGTTTTTAAGGCAGTTGATCCTTTCTTCCTCTTAGGCAATAGTTATAAGACAGGGGAAAAAACATGGATTAAAGATACTGTAATGTTAAGTCCAAATAATGAAATGAGCATTAGAATGTCCTGTTATTTGATAACTTGTGATTACTAATTCATTTTTAAACCTTTCAGTTAAAAGGGAAGAAACAGTGTATGATGAAGTAAAGGTGCAAAATAAGGCAACAGAACAAACTCCTGTCACAAATGGTGAGTAGTCAAATGAAAAACATGAAAGCATTTCTTCATTTTTCCCCGCCTGGTTCTTTTGCCATCAGAATTGTTGTCTAAAGGCCAAGAAAGATGCCCAATGGATTCACTCTACCAAGTGGACCATCCCGGCCTTGCCATATTGGTCCATTTGAAAAGAAAGAAAAAGCGAAAGAAAAAGAGATTAATCAACTCAGGGTATTTATGTAATATTTTCAGTATAATGGATGTGAAGCCACACACTAATATTTTCACTTCCCATTTAAGCAACCTCCACCAAAGATTACAATGTGACCAAAAAAAGAAAAAAGATTTCAGAAGAATGTAATGAAGCATATTTAGAGGTTTTTAAGGCAGTTGATCCTTTCTTCCTCTTAGGCAATAGTTATAAGACAGGGGGAAAACATGGATTAAAGATACTGTAATGTTAAGTCCAAATAATGAAATAAGCATTAGAATGTCCTGTTATTTGATAACTTGTGATTACTAATTCATTTTTAAACCTTTCAGTTAAAAAGGAAGAAACAGTATATGATGAAGTAAAGGTGCAAAATAAGGCAACAGAACAAACTCCTGTCACAAATGGTGAGTAGTCAAATGAAAACCCATGCAACTGAAAACATTTCTTTTGCAATGTTTTATTTTAATTTTTCAATATAGAAAACCCCATCAACAAACAAATAAATACAGCTCAGGTGCTAAGGCAGGGCAAGAAGACAAGAAATAGCACAGTAATAATAAAAACTACCAGTATCCAGAGTAAATCAAATATCATGCATTTGTAACAAACAGAGAAACCACAGTGCCATGACACATGTTCATATAACCAGGGCTTTCCCAAGGTAATTAAAAAACAGAGTCCAGGATTTTGAGAAAACATTTACTGCAGAAGTTTGTAGGTATCGAATATTTTCCATTTGTATGACTGATAGCATGTAATTGAGCCAGACATTGAAGGAGGGAGGAACATCAGACTTCCATTCCTTTAGGATAAGTCTTTTCGCAACCATCATTCCAAGATCGACTGGTACCCGCGTAGTTGCAGGAATAGTTCTGGAATGTATGCAACCAAAAACTGCAAGACGAAGATTCCGGAAGCTTTAGAGTACCAATCAAATAATCTTGACCAGAAATTAGTCAATGAGGGACAATGCCATAAAGCATGAGCCAGTATTCTATCTGATATTTTACATCTGTCACATATGGGGGAAGTTGAAGAATACATTTTGTGTAGTCGAACCTTGGAGTAGTGTAGCTGATGGACAACTTTAAATTGTATTAATTGATGTCGGCTGTTAAAAGGGCAGGAATTAATTTTGGATAAGCACTTGTCCCACATTGATTCCAATATTTCTATACCCAGTTCATCCCTCCAAGCGTCTCTTATCCTCGTAATCCACGCCTCAACACTGTCATCAAACAAATGTACAATTGTAGAAATCAGATGTTTGGAATAAGGAGGGCTCAGGAGCACATTAAAAAAGTTGTGTTAAGTTGGACAAAATGCCTAAGCTGATTAAATGATGGGAATGTCTGGTGCCAGAAGGTCAGCACTTGTACATTTGAAGCCCAATAATAATGTTTGAATATTGGTAAACTCAGACCTCCCTTCAATTTGGATTTATGTAGATGTAGTTTTGAGATTCTAGGATTCTTGTTGTTACATATGTAAGAAGTGATAATCAAGTCCAACTCCTTAAAGAATGAGGAAGTGTCAGCCTATTTGTCTGACAAACTTGAGATTTTGAGTTAGCATTAAGTGCTTATGAAGTGCATTATTAAAAGCTAACTATTCTGTGTTTTTAAAGTCTAAAAACAAGTGCTTTTAACAGTTTGATTGCCTCATATGAATTACAGAAAATTTTCAAGATAGCCTCATCAAAACCTTTGCGATTTGTATTTTTCTGCTGTGAGACAGTGAGACAAAAGGAAACAAAACAAAACCAAATTGTAACTTTGAATAAAACTTATAAAACTTATAAAACTTAAAATTATTCAGAAAGCTAAAATTATATATTTCTATCTGTTGTTTAGCTTCTGCAGAATTCTTGCCCGACAAGAAATCAAACCGTAGATGTCGCCACTATCAGCAGTTGACTTGTTGTTTGGGCATGCTTTGTATAATTTTGGCATTGGGCATCATAGCAGTCAGTGTCTACCGTAAGTATGAAAACATTCATACATCAGTCACACTTATGGTACTTTCTCTTTCTGATTTTGCAGATCTGTTAGCAAGAAATTTCACAGAAAATTATGCTAAACAATATTTTACAATTTATGTTTCATTTAATTCAATTTAATGTTTCAAAATGTATCTAAAGATACAATTATCCCAAACAAAGCTGTTATTTGACATTGGAAATGTTCTATAGTAACATAATTGGTTTTAAGGTGAGGTGATACACAAGGAAATACAACAGCAGTCATAGGGGAAGTCTTTATGCTGTAACTGGTGACACAACCAATGTAGCTGTGGACTCTGCATTTAAAAAATGAATTCCCAACAAAAATGCATTTTATACTTTTTATTATCTGAGTGGATTTAATTCATACTAAAAGATTTAAATAAATCTAAAAAAGACTAAACTAAAAACGTTTAATTAGAACAGAAGAGGAAATACTTTAAACAGTAGTAAAATGATAATAAATGAATAAATAAATAAATTGAGATCCACCATATTCTAAAAAACAAATTTTAATTTTGCAGGTGTCACATTAATTTATGAGATTGATGAAACTGAGCTGAACCAACTGAAAGAAAACCAAACAACTTTAAATGCTGTCAATCATAACCTGACAAAACTCAACAACCAACTCAGCTCAGACAATGAAGACTTGAAGAGGAACCAAACCAAGCTCACACTCCAGATGAACAACCTGACTCAAGTCTTTAATGTCTTAGATAAAGAGGTGACAAACCTGACAAAAGAAAACCAGAAACTTAAAGGGAAAAATGAGGAGCTGAAGACTCAGAATAAGGACCTGGAGGCAGAGAAGAAAAACCTAACAGAACAAACGCAACAGATGACGACACCATGGGACGAGCTCAATGTTAGTCGAGCTCAGTGGAGCATTGATGCCTACTGTCCCCGAGAAAATAACAGTATGTTCCAATTACATTACCTACAATAATACCAAATTTAACAGCAATATGCAGTGATGTTTATTAATTGATCTCCATCTTTGCAGACAGAAAGTGTAACGCTTGTCAGAAGGGCTGGGGATTAAATTCCAGCTGCTATGCAACTAATAATGCTGACCAAGGTGAATGGAAAACCTGGGAAGAAGCTCGAAAAGACTGCAGAGGAAAGATTTCAGATTTGGCTGTTGCAATTAATGAAGAAGAAATGGTAATGACAGCACAGAGAGACTCTTTATTACAGACTTAGTTAAATAGATCTGAACTCAGTCAGCGGTTTAAGCAAAGTATTTAAATATCTCTGATCATTTTCCCTCTGTTTTCAGAAAATTATTCGTGAAAAGAGTTGGCAAAATAATGAAAACAAAGGATACTGGATTGGCCTGAGAGTTGAAGATGGGAAATGGAAGTGGCTGGATGGAAGGAATCTGACTAATAAGTAAGAGACAATTAAAATATTTGCCAAATTTGGAATAAATTAGTTACAATGTACAAGTGTCCATCAACCTTGAGCAAATTTGTTACTTTCCTCAGCTCCTGGATCGACCAGTCATCTCCTTCTGATGGTCACTGTGCAATCTCTCTCCAAAACCAAGGATTTAAATCAGTCAGCTGTGATGAGAAGAACCAATGGATCTGCAAGAAGAAAGCTTTGTCTGTTTGAATGCTGCAAAGTAAATACTTCAGAAGACTACTGGATATTCAGAAACTACTATATTAATATTGATGTTAATATCAATAAAAAAAATATTAATGTAATTTATAAATAGAATATTAAAATGTGAAGACTGATTTATGATTTTTGTATAGTTTTAATGCTAAGACAATCTTGCGGGTCCTTGTTTTCAGTTACCGTCTGTAACCTTGTTAAAATGTGCTTAATTCCTAAAATTAATTCTGAAAAACGAGTTGACGTTTTACCGAAGCACATCTGATCTATTAAAAGCCTGGAGGTTATAAATAAATGGTTTAACATGTGACCCATCTGCAATTGAGCAGGTAACAACCCAGAACCAAAGAACCAAGGTCACCCACAGTAATAACAGACACAAGCATTGATTCAATAAATGTCCTCACATCTAACCAAACACAATATCATACCTCTCACTGTATCATACACATGCCTGTATGTGTAGACTAGGCTCAAGAAAGTGAGATAGGATGGGAATAATGGAAATTCTTTTCAAACATAAAATCATAGAAAAAAATATTGTTTATTGAGGTGCATGTGAATTTACTATGTTTTTTATAGAAAAAAAGAGCAGTCACCTCCAGTGTCTAATTTAATCTCTCCAAAAGTTGATTCTGTTCATCTGGACTTATTCTGTTCATCTCGACAAATTTAATCTAATCTAATCTAATTCCTTGAATTATAGCTTTATAAATTTTTTTCTTCCATTGCAGTGTTTGTTTTTGCAGCTGACAAAACAGCAGCAACTGAACATGTTAACATGTGAATTCAATTAATGCTAAGAGGAATTAAAGCACTTTTGAAAGCATACGAGGGTCCAAACCAGTTAAGGTAGATGAGTGATTCCAAAAAGTGTGGGCCGGGGCCCCCTGGTGGGCTTCCAAAGTACTGCAGATGGGCCACAGTAAAAAAAGAAATTCAGTTTGAAATAACTCACAAGCATGTACAGTTATAGATTTATATACATTTATTTATTTATGTAAAAGTAAATTAAAACTGCTAATATCAGGTGTTTGGTTTATGATGTTACTCATTATTCTGACCTAAATTTAATGTTCTTTCATTGAAGTTTGTGTGATATGGCTAGATAACATTAACAACTGATAACCAACAGCCTGTGTTGTTTATGTTTTTGAATAAACTTTTCAGGAAAATACATCACTTTCTTTCTTTTGATTAGAATGAAGATTTAAGATTTGGGTGGGCTGCTGGTATTTATGGTTTTTAAGTGGGCTGCACTAGGTTTAGGTTTGGTTTGCTGCTGGCATCTTGAGATCTTAAGTGACTTGATTATTGGTTGCAACCTGCCCCTTTCTATTGTGTAAAACAAGAATTTTCTGCACTTTCTGACAGTAGTTGACAGAAAATACAGTCCGGTATGTTGCAGAACAATTACATCAAAAACAGAGAACCTCGCTGCTGAGAGACGTTCAATGTTAAAAACTCAGTTGAGTGAGACCGATCATGTTTCAGTCACTGTGGACATTTAGTCAGACCGAAGGATGAGGGGTTTCCTTGGTATCACTGTGCACTGGATACAGAAAGAGACAGAGAGGATGCAGCGGAAATCCAAACTGCTGGCCTTTGACCACTGCAAAGGATTACACACTGGTGAAAGAATCTGTGAGAAATTTGAAGCTATATGTGATGAATACAACATCAAAGATAAACAAGACTAAATTATTAGTGACAATGCTGCCAATATGTGGAGAGCATTCACTGTGTGCTTCCCCACTGAGCAAGCTGAGGAACATGATGATGACGGTGATCATCTTGATGATCCAGAGCTCTGGCACGATTTAACCTTTGGAAGATCAGGAAACAGTAGGTGCTGCTATGGCAAAGACACAGTGCCTGCAGTGTTTTGCACGCACACACTTCAGCTGGTGGTGAGAGATGGTTTGTCAGAGACCAAAGTGGCATCTCCTTCACTTTCAAAGTTATCTAAGCTCAGCTCTCTACTGCACACAAGCACAACATTCAAATATGTTTTTGAAGGTGAACAGAAAGGGATCCCTGCTGCTGTAATCACAAGATGGAATTTAACACTGAGACAAGTAAATGCAGCTCTCCAATGTGAACATCTAAAACTCTGCGCTGTTCTTGAAATGGCTGGGCACAAGGAGTTATTATTCACAACACGAGAGTGGAACCTGTTGAAGGAGATGGTGGACATCTTGAAGCCTTTTGGAGACGCAACAGATTTGACACAAAGTGGGAAACTAGTCACGATCAGTGTTGTTGTTCCATCCGTGCTGTCCCTCAATCACCACCTTGAGAAACTGAAGCCTCAAGTCTGTTTCCTGAGTGGTCTGGTCAGGAGTCTCCAAGCATCTTTGAACAAAAGATTTCTTGGACTCTTTATCAGTGTGCGAATGGCTAGAGCAGAAGATGGGATCACTGCCCCCTTTTCAGATCCAGTGTACCTTAAAGTAGCTGCTTTGGATCCAGCATTTTCTCTGTTGTGGGTGGAACACCATGTGTTGGGCAGTTGTGACATAAAGACAGAGGTGACACAAAAAGCTAAAGGTAAAGATTGAATACAGTGTATATTTTTTTCTGTATTTTTTTGTCTAAAATTGTAAGAAAGGCTCTTTTGCTGTTGTTAATTTGTTTTGCCAGATCTGATTCTGCAAGATGCTGCAAAGTCAGAGAAACCTGTGACTCCTGGTGAGGAACATCAAGAGGACTGTGAAGATGGAGGACTCTTTGCTGCTTACTGTAAGAGGCAGAAGAAAGATGTGGGGAAGAGTCCAGCTCTACAGCTAAGTCACTACCTGGATATTGCTGATGGACAGAACGTCCCCTTGTTCTGGGCAATGAACATGCAGACTCTTCCTTCTCTGTTTCATGTGGCCACCAGAGTTTTGGCAGTACCTGCATGTAGTGCTCCTGTGGAGCGAGTTTTCAGCTATGGTGGCATCATTCTATGGCCTCATCGTGCACAAATGACTGACAGACTTTTGGCCAATTTGGTCTTTTGCAAATGCAGTGCAGAATAGTTAACTGAAATAACTTAAAGTGCACATTCTTGTTCATCGTTCATTTACATATATATATATTTATATATATATATACATATATAATGTTTTTGTTTTTTTTTCCTCTGTCACTCACACATGGACACATACAAACACACATGTTCACACCTGTGACAGACTAGATGAGAGAGAGAGGCTAAGCTAAGCACACTGCACTAAATTTACTGCGATGGTTCATTGTTTTGTAAATAAGGAAATTGCAGCACTTTTTTTTCAACAGGAAGTTCTGCTTTTGCATTTTTCACTGAATGTTTATTCTGTGAATTTGTAATTTAGAGGAAGACTATTCTTGCAGCAACGTTTAATTGAGCTGTACATTATAAAGGTGCAACTTCAGAATTAGTTTGTGCATATTTTGTAAGTTCACTTGTTTCATCAGGTGTTGAGATAAATACAGATTTAAAAAAGAACACATGGTCTATTATTTACATTTAACATATAACTGCAACATTGTTTAAAAAAAAGACTTGAAAGGACTTGAAATTCAAAGTTTAGGACTTGGGACTTGACTTGAAAGTAGTCTGTCTTGACTTAAGACTCTGACTTGCCTGACTTTACTTGAGACTTGACTCGTGACTTGATGATATAGACTTGAGACTTACTTGAGACTTGCAAAACAATGACTTGGTCCCACCTCTACACCATCTACAAGAAACCATAATTAGGCTGATGCCAAAGACCCTAACCCTTGGGCCAAACTACAGATAGAAACCTATAGTCTATGGGCCAAGTTGGAAAAAAAAACTCCTAAAAAACAGCACTGAGGGACAATAAATTGAATTATTTTGCTTCACAGTTTATAGTAAATTAACATTTAAAGTCTAATGTACACACTAGCCATCTGTTCACAACATATTCACCGCTCACAGTAATAGTATTATCTTTTCATCACACTGTAAAGTGTTTGAGGTTCTTCCAGCCAGACATGTATGCAAATTACATTCAAAGCCAAAAGCAGAAGTTGGTGTTACAAACAGACTCGGGGGGAAAAAACAGCTTCTCTCATTTATGCCCTGTGGTTCAAATACAATACTCTTCTCTGTCTACGAGTCACAAAAAACCAAACAGAAAGACTGTAAGGATGGCAGAGGACGAGGTTAACTACGCATCAGTTGTATTTAAACCTAACCAACAACAAAGATCAGAAGGTAAGTTAAGCCTTTCAAATGCACTGTGTAAAGAAAAAGAGATTCATAAACTCAGAGTACTTGTGTAGTCTTTTCAGTATAATGGATGTGAAGATACACACTAATATTTTCACTTCCTGTTTAAGCAACCTGCACCGAAAATTACAATGTGACCAAAAAATGAAAAAAGATTTCAGAAGAATGTAATGAAGCATATTTAAAGGTTTTTAAGGCAGTTGATCCTTTCTTCCTCTTAGGCAATAGTTATAAGACAGGGGAAAAAACATGGATTAAAGATACTGTAATGTTAAGTCCAAATAATGAAATGAGCATTAGAATGTCCTGTTATTTGATAACTTGTGATTACTAATTCATTTTTAAACCTTTCAGTTAAAAAGGAAGAAACAGTGTATGATAATGTAAAGGTGGAAAATAAGGCAACAGAACAAACTCCTGTCACAAATGGTGAGTAGTCAAATGAAAAACATGAAAGCATTTCTTCATTTTTCCCCGCCTGGTTCTTTTGCCATCAGAATTGTTGTCTAAAGGCCAAGAAAGATGCCCAATGGATTCACTCTACCAAGTGGACCATCCCGGCCTTGCCATATTGGTCCATTTGATTGACCTTTGTTTTTATTGTTTACTTTACTTTATTTTCAGTTGCTACATACGGGACGGACCTGACTGGGGGAAAGGAAAGGGAGAAAGAAAAGGAGGGAGGGAAAGAAAAACAGCGGGGAAGAGGAACGGTGAAAAATGGCACAAAAAAAAGTGGCGTGGGGGGGGGCAAAAAAAAAATAAATAAATAAATAAATAAATAAAATAAAATAAAAAAATAAAAAAATAAATATATATATATATATATATATATATATATATATACACACATCATTGCAATAATCTGTGTATATAACAGTAAATACTAAA